CTATTATCTTTATAATAATATACTAAGGAAAATTTAGAGACCTTAGAGAAAAACCTGAGCTTTAATGCGAGTATAAAGTTAGACTAGTTCTAAGATTATAAATAAATAAGTCTAATAAGAAGACCTTTCTTTATATTAGCCTAGGTAAAATACCTAGGTATAAGAGTTCATAGCTTATTTATTTATATATTATCTTCCGGATTACTCGAATTAGTAGGCTGTATAGAAGCAATCTTCCCTGCTGTAAGTTCTATTCGTTCAACATCGCGCTGCATCATAGTACAGACAGATATGCTTATGAATAGAGATGACTGATCCCCTTCAACTTCGTTGGTCTTGTTGTAATTGTTAGAGTTGATTCCTTGCAGCCCCTTACGCGGACAATACCAGTCTTTTCTTCTCCTACGCACTCCATTCCATAGCTTTATCTGACTCCGTATAATTTCGCTTGAAGAGACAAATCTGCAGCTCGCAGGGCATAGTTTATGACTAGTTTTGTGAGACTTATAGTTGACTTGCTGAATTGAACACAAATCATATATATTAAGGGGGAAATACTAGTATATTCTACAATCGTAGCTGACTTTGTTGAAAAAAGCTTTCTATGTTGATAATCTTGCGCCTCTGCTTGGTTGTTGAAACCTTTGTAGTGTCGTACTAATGCCACATTAGCACTCGATAACTACCTGTTGGTAAAAGTACAGATACTTACTGCTGCGCGCCCACTGCTATCTTCCTGTATTATATTAATCCGTCTTGGCGGTCAGAAGAGGCCTGAATCCAAAAAAGATGCCCTCGATTCCCTCTGGATCGTTTCTTTCGTAATGGGTGCTGTACATGCTGGTCAAAGCGTAGCCTGTATGGTTGACAGCAAGCGATACATCAGCGTGACGCGGGTCTCCATACGGCCCATGCACAGTGCCCTTGTTCGTAGTAAATTGTAGCTGACCGAGCTTGTGACCATAGACAATATCGACGTTTTCAATGTACTCGTCAGGCTGCAACTCAAAACTTCGTGACTCTATGTCCGGTTTTCTGCACTCGCCAAACTTGGGCCCCCAGGTGTCGCCGTACTTGACCTGCAGGCTGCGTACGTCCTCCGAGACGCAGAGACTAACAGCGGTGATTCTGTCGGTCCGCTTGGTGACGGGCGGAGGGCTAGTCGCGCTCCAGGGCGCATTTTCTGTGTAGCGAATGTAGGGTCCGCGGAAAACCTCTCGGTCGAGGTTCAGCAAGGATGACTCTGGCATCTTTGACTCGCCAGTCAGGTACGGCCAGAACTCGGCATAGTTTAAAACGTTTTCGAGCATTTCCAAATCATAGTCGGCATACGTCTGCAGAGCCAAGCCTTCGGAATAGCCGTTTCCATAGTGTGGCTTGCCAGCGTCCTTGACCCATTCATAAGGCTTGACCTGCTTTCGACCCTCGGTGTAGTACCTTTTGGCGTGAGAGACATAGTCCAAAGTACTACGCTTAGCTCTGGTGGCGAATTGCTCAATGAATGTGCTATAAGCCTCTTTCCACATTGCAATGAGCTCAGGGGCCACGCCGAGACGTTCGGCTGCCTCGATTGCGCCCTTGAGTAGTTCGAGCTCTGTATTATCTGCTCGACTCTGAATAGCAGCCATGTCTCGAGCCGCATTACCAGAAGACGTCATTCGTCTAAACTCGTCTGGCATAATGTTGGCAACGTACTCTTGCGGGTAGCCCCAGTCCAGACCATGTTTGATGCCATCGGCCAGCAACGTCAGATGCAGGTTTGCTGCCTGCGCAAACAAGGGCAATGTAAGCGCTGCATAGGTGTCGACTTGGAACTCTGGAATAGAGACGCGCATCATCGTGAGGAACCCAACATGGTGGGTGCGGAGCAGTTCGGCATGCTCCTTCTTCTTGTCCGGCGCGGCGTCATTATAAATCTTCCAGACCTTGGCGTACTCATTCGCGTTGAGCTTGAAGCCCTCCATCCTGCTCTGAAGTGCCTTGACTTGGTGCTCCTCGAGCTTCTTGCCGATCAAGGTTTCGACACGCTCGCTGACCTTGGTCCATGGGTCGGCCGACGGAGCAGGGAATATTGCGAGACCAAGGAGTGTCGCAACGGAGCTGATGACGCCCCCAACGACCGGGATGGCGTTTAGTCCAATTGCAAAAATAGAGAGCACCAATTGAGAGATTTCGTTTTCGTTGGTGTTCATCTTGACACCAGTCTGAGCAGCGGCGATGGCTTTTTCTGCCAGCTTGGCAGCTAGCTCATGATCAAAGGCCATTTTGGTGGATGAAGGTATTGAGAAAGATGTCAGATATTGAGTGAGAGAAGAAGGTTACAAGAGTGAATTGATACTCGTTGTTGAATAGGAATGAGAAGAGTCTTGAGAGCGAAGCTGGGACCCTTTATAGATGCGCTGTCTTCGTAACAGGTTCGTATGCATCACACCATGTACTTTTACACAGTCATCCGATCACAACACGACCAAGAATGATATGGTTGTTGGTGGGTGTCCTTTGCCAGAGCTGTAACTGCCGTTCCGAATTGAACACCTTGGTAGTATAACATCGCTTGGACCAGCTTATACGCTTGGCAGCAACATTGTCTGAGGAACAAGGAATACATGTGCCACGCCCCCACCAAATGCCGTTGAGCGGACGAACCCTACCCTCTCATGAATGACTACTGTGCGAGGTGGCTATGTATTGTTGGAAGAGCAGGCGCTAGATAGAGTTGTCGGGCAGTAAGCTCCGTCTTGTCGAGTCGCGCGTCTACCATGCCCCCGGCCGGAAGCATTTCCGGCGCCGCTACGTTGCCAGGTTGGAGAGAAACCCCGTTTGTACCTTTGAAACGCGGGCTTCCATTCCGAGAATCTGAATGCCGTCAAATTTGGACGAATAAAGATTAGCCACTAGGAAAAAGGTATAAAAACAACTCAAGAGTGTTGGTTTAGAATGGTGAGCTATATGACTATTGTTCTCCTGAACTGGTTGTCGTTTCGTGTCCAATAACGTATTGTCTATACGAGTAGTCGTAAGCCAAAAGACTGTGCTCAGAACCCAACTAAAGGCAGCAGCCATTGCAGCCCACTAACAAGTTGACCTATAATAAGCAAATATGCCTAGTCTTGAATGTTTTCATCGTATCAGGAACATGTTCCGGGTTTTTTTTTTTTTTTTT